TTTAATTTTAAGACTTTATTCACATAATTTTTATAACTTTATTAATGTAATTCTATGACTATTCTCGGGACTTTATTCTCGTAATTTTAGGACTTTATTTTCGTAATATAAAGAAAATCTCTCTGCTGGCCCCAGTCGTTCATTTCTTATCAGCTTTCAGAGGAAAATGTTGGAACAAATCGTTGGAACAGAAACTTGTTGGTTGAAGGAGCCTGATTGGCTGATGGAGCATCCAGAGGTCAGCTGGGAGCAGCGCAGGCCAGCTGGGACAGCTTCACACACTGAGCAGCATTTTAACGGCTTTCAGTTACCATCAGCCCCCGTAGAGCCGTTGTGAGCTGGAGACGAAGGTCTGGGAAGGATCTCCTGCTGTCGCTCAAAGTTGGGAGATCTCCACATTCCTCCTTAGAGCCCAGCAGGTCGCAGCAGCGACAGCCGCTTTAAAACTCACCAAACAGCGGATGTAAACAAAGCAACTTCCCTTCAACCTCAAGGAAAAGCTTTTTAAAGCATCGGGTCACGACTGGGTCCGATTTTAAAGCTCTAATTTGGACGTGAAGTTCTTCCATATGTTCAGAAACGTTCTACTCAGAGAAGTACTCACCGGTTCGGCGGTAGCCATCTTACAAATCTCTGTTAGGAAATTTAACGCTGATTGGTCCGTTTGGAAACACGTGACCGGGGTGCCGCTGATTGGCTGCCGGTGGGTCACTCCGCCCCCTTCTCCCCTGTCCTGCAAACTGAGGCATGGCGAGCACGGAGACCAGGAGGGAGTGTGAGACGGAAGGCTGCAACAAGGACGCTAAACTTCAGTGTCCGACATGCATCAAGCTCGGGATCCAAGGCTCCTACTTCTGCTCGCAGGTACGGCTGCTTCCCCTGCCTTTCCCTCCGGCCTGAAGGCAGCTAGCCGCGGCCGCAGAGCCGGCTAGGCCCGCGGTCACTTCACGCGGCTGCTAACTCAGCTGATGGGCTGCTAATGGGGCTCCAAGCCGCTTCTTTAGCCGAGAAGAAACATTTCTGAGTTTATCTGAGCTGTTTGGTTAAGTTCAGTCTGGAAACAACTGAAAAGTTCAAGTTAGCAGTTAAATTAGTTTTTATTTTTTTATTTTTCTAAGGCCGAGAAGAAACGTTTAGCTAGCTAAGTGCTGTCAGGCTACAAGCAGTGGAGGAAGAAGCTAAAATAAGAAAAGCTCTTTAATAAACCAGCAGGGTCACATTACATATTAAACAAACATGTCATGTAAAAAACATCTCGAAGCTTTAAGCAGCTCAGTCAGCTAAAATGCTTTGAAAACAAGTCTGATCATTTGATGCTATGATGGTGGACCACCCTGGATCAGCTCCTCATGTTAATTACAGTTTAGCTCAATAATTAATAAGGATAATCACCAGATCACTTCCTTTGAATCCTGGTGATCAGCTGAACATTTGGTGCTTTGCTCGGTATTCTTTATCAGAGCCAATCATGAACAGATTACAGGCCTAAAACTCATGATTGTTGCTTATTTCAAAAAGGACTGAAGCTCCTATGGGTGAACATTAGTTTCCAAAAGTCATTTAATTCAATAAAAGAGAATATTAACAGGAGGAAAGGGGTGGAAAAGTTTTGGTAAATGTAATCATTGTGGTATTTTCACACCACAAGAAAACAACTGCCTATAAACAAGAATAATTTATCCTCTGATATATGAATAATACTTTGTCTGGATTTAACATTAGACTTGATCAGGGTTCGAATAAAGAAGATCACCAACCAATAAAGGTCTGGAGACATTTTTAATTATAATCTGTTACTTTAAACAGAATTTAACACTGAAATAAAATGCAGCTTTTTAGGCATCAATGTTATACATTGAATAAAAAAAAAATTGAAAATGTTTCCTTTTTAAAATCTAAATCATTCAGTTTGGTATATAGACAATTTACAAATTCACATATTTAATAAAACACCTGAACTGGATGGATGGTATTTTTTTTATTTTTATGGCTTAATGAGAGTAGTGGGCTTAAAGGCCAATTTATGCTTCTGTCGCATGGACTCTGCAACCATCAAATCTGTCTCTGTGAGCGGCAATGCGCAGAGGTTCTGCAACAATTGTCGTGCACCTCAAAGAAATCCTGACTACGCGTCGGACGGTCTTCAACTCACACAGACCTCAAGCGGAAGTGCGCAGACATAAAGCAGCTGTGATTGGTCCTTCGTATACCTTTCCGGCTGTCTGTGGTCGTCCTTCTCTATTCGCTGCTGGGGTTTGCCATTTTTAAAAACCGAGGAACAACTACAATGGACAACTACGACGAAGGGTTAATCAAAGATGTTTGGAAGTACAGCCACATGTACGATGCCTCAGACAAATTATATATAGATGCCACGGTCTATGCCATAACAAAGTTCTCCTGACAATCCGCCGAAGTTCTCGCGAGTTCTCGAATAGGCTCCCCCTTGCGCTTTGGCGGGAAACTGCTGTGATCCCTAGAATTCTAGACTATGATAGAAGCATACCAGCCAAACTGGTTCACGACCAGACCCAAGCGACATTTGATGTGTGCGTTTGCAGAAGCCTAATCTGCCCTGCAAGGCTTCAAACCTGGGTTTGAATTGTGACAGCCATTTTGAAGCGCATACAGGGTTTCTGAGGGTAATTAGAAAACATGAATTATTTTTTGAATCAAGGCCTTAATTGGCATTAAAATTTATTAAATGGGATTATTGTGGCATTTATAATGCTTTATTTAAATTTAAAAAAAGATATTTAGAAAAGCTATTTAGTCAGATATTATATCAAATATATTTGCACGGAACTGCTTGCAGTTGATAGTAAAGCCGTACGTTTGGAAAAGAAGCTCGAGGCGGAAAAAGCTAGAGAAAGGGGAAAAATGCAAATTTGGCTGGAAAAACAGGAATTCGGGACATGGCTGCAGCCTGACGACAGCAAAGAGGATGAAGGATTTTGCAGTGTTTTTTTAATATATATATTTATATATTCACTGTTTCGTGGTCATGGTTTTCGGTTCGGTATATGTTGATTGTTACACCGAAAAATAAAAAAATGTATAAAAATTTATGAAAAAATGAAAAATGATTAAATTCATGAAAAAAACCCCAAAAATTAATGAATTGTAATTATTTTTAATGATCCGCGGAAATCCTGGATCATTTCCGCATGTTTTGCTGCTTTGAATTTAATCATCTGGCGCATGCCCTCTACGATCTCCAAGGAACTCAGAACAAAGCGGACGGGAGCCACAGCGGAGGCTGTAGGCTTTGCTTTGCGCAGCGGAGCGCAGCGCTGACGGAGTATATGGGATTTCAGGGTTAGCATGACATGTTGGTCATGTTGCTATTAGCATAAACAAAACGTGTTGCACAATGCTTGCACACTGTTGCACTTTTATCCACAACTTTCTTTCCGCCGTCATCGTAGGTCACTCTAAATGCAAAGTGGTCCCATACAGCAGACCTATAAAGTGCTGCTGGCGCGTCTTCCAACTCCTGTTCTTTCCCACTCGCCATACCCACACAATTCTCCACAACAACTGATTTTTTTCTGCTACACCCGGCTACGCTGCTTCACTTCTTCTTCTTGTTTACTACTGGTGGTTGGCTTTGGTCGCAGTACCGCCATCTTCTGCTCTGGAGTGTAAACGCTTCGCCTATGAGAAAAAGGAGCAGCGCATGAACCGAACGCAACACACGCGAATCGAACCGAGACAGTCGAACCGAGACAGTCGAACCGAACGGTTTGGATGGTTTTCTTAAACCGTTCCATCCGTTATATATATATATATATATATATATATATATAGATATAGATAGATAGATAGATAGATAGATAGATAGATAGATAGATATAGATAAAAAGAGTTCAGAGAGGCCATGGACAAAGACTTTTGGTACGGCTTAGAAGTGATTCTGGTCCACAATCTGGCGTCTCAGGAGGGGGAAGCAGTGCTGTACCAACACTATTTATAGTGTAGGTCGTATGTCGGTTTGAAGACCTTCTTAATCCCACCAACAAGTCTTCCATTGAGGAAGCACAGCCTGGGTTCTCTCATCTCTGTTGCTACAGTGAATTCCTTACACTGAATTTTTATCCAGTAAAAATCTGCCTGCAAAAAATTAAACTGCAAATGTGTTGATAGTGAGATGAAGCCTCATAAACCGTTTGGCTAATTGCTTCAACGATCCCGCAGTTCGTGAAGCTTCATGTGAACATGTCACCACCTACTGGTGGAGTGCAGAACTACAGTTAGTAATATAATCTGTGATATTTTTGCAATTAGTTTTCATGTTTTTTTTTTAAGTTCATTTGAAATTGTTAATGATTGGCTTTCTTGCCTGTGTTTTCTTCCATATGTTTTAGATTCATAACGTTCACAAGAAGCTTTAATAAATGGCTTCGTTCACACGCCTTTCAAACCACCTGTCCTCTTTGTTTACATTTTGGACAGAGAAAACAGGTGGTTTGAAAGGAAAAATAGAATTATCTCAGCACTGATTCGGTGAAAAGCTCTCTGTCAGGTTTACTTAAGGACTTTTTATAAGATAGAAAAACAATCTCTGGTTAGCCCATGTCTTTTATTCCCAATGACAGGAGACATGCCCAAATATTAACAGGACAAACGGTGAGAAAGGAATTCTTTTTATCTGTGCGGCTGCAGAAATCAGAAGCAGCTGTTTTAAATGCAAAGTCAATGGTTGACTCATGACAGCATCGGTGGGAACCCCGAACACTGCATTTAGTGCATATAAGCACCTTTGCATGAGCAGAAAAATATCACCAGAATGATTGACAGTAATCCACCCAGAAAAAGAACATCCTCCCTTATACCTTTAAGGTCAATTCTCAGGTGAAAGTTTTTTATATTTTTAAAGTAATGTTTGTCATTTGTCATTTTTTTATCATAAAACTTAGGGAAGAATAAAAGCAATCCATTTATCATATTTGGGTTAAAGATTGAAGATTGAATTTTAGGACTACATCCTAATTGAACAGCTTCCATTAGGATCAGGTCCGTCTTTCAGACATTAACAGCTTTCCATATCCTCCCCTTCAGGAATGTTTCAAGGGAAGTTGGACATCTCACAAGTTGCTGCACAAGAAAGCAAGTGGGTATTGCAGCCGTTATGCGTCTGTATGTTGTTCAGTGAAAGTATTGACAGCTACCTGCATCACTTTTTTTTTCCAGAGGAAGACAAGAACCAGACTGAAGATAAGAACTGTGTGGAGAAGGACACCAACACAGACCCATGGCCGGGATACCGTTACACAGGAAAGCTACGCCCGCACTACCCACTGGTGAACCTCCTCACTTCTCTAGTTTTCACTTCTTTATATAAACAGTTGAGAAACTGTATATACACTGTGCAGAATTATTTGGCAAGTTGTATTTATGAGGGTTATTTTAATTATTGGGCCACAATTGTGTTCTGAGTCAGCCCAAAAGACTCCTTAATATAAAAGTTTATTATTTTTGGAAGTTGATGTGTTTTGTTTTTAGATTTGGCCATTTTATGAGGATGTCTGT